TATATATATATATATATATGTATGTGTATATATATATGTATGTATGTATGTATATATATAATATCTGGTCATCTAGAGGCATTTCTCAGTTACCATAACTTTGCTGTCAGAATTGGAAAACCTATTTCATCACATCTGTCGCCAACGGTATTCCACAAAGAACAGTCTTCGGAGCTCCCATACTTTTCATATGTATTTAGGTGATGTATAGGGATTAGATTTATAACCACTAATAATGTATGAAATATGAATGAATTTATGCTGTAAGGTCTAAAATACGCCATATGTGGTATATTAACTCATCATTACACAGTCTCATCTTCATTTTTATGATCAGTATATTTATCTGGAACCGTACACGTTCTGTACTGCTAAATGGAATTTCAATGAATCCCACAAAGGAATGTCATCTAAATACATTGTACAATTACTTTTAGTAACACTTCGAACACCATTCATGGAACCCCCTTGCAGTAACCTTCATACCATGAAACAGGGGAAATCCTTTCTTTTCCTTATGTTTCTCTCCTAATTTTAGGGGAATCTTCCTCTGTGTCTTGTGAAAGTTTAATTGTGAGTTTTAGGAAATCAGTAGTACTGATTTTTTAAGGTGGTCCCCGCTGTACATTACACTCAAAACAATAATGATTTTCCTATGATAAAACATGGGTAATTCAGATACAGGAAATTGATGTTAGGTGCAATAAACTACATACGTAGAAACATTACAAAAGTAAAAATTAAATTTATTAAAATAATAGTAAATAAATATGAGTAATAATAAAACATTTTGAATGGAAAATGGACAGAATAAAGAACAATTGTTAAAATTTGCTTATTAAGAAATCAGGCAAAATATACAACATATGCACAATAAAGTTATGTTTAAATGATTGGAAATTGAATGTTTTATGCACTTATCATCCTCTCTGAAATAAGGGGGAAAACTTAGAATATCGGTCTCTAATGATATAACTGAGGACATAAAATCCAACATTCTGATGGAAGAATTTTTGATAAATTTTTAAAAGATGCTGAATGCCTATGTGTATTAGATAGAATACGCAGGTGAACTCTACAATGGTTGTTCCCCTTAATGGAGCAAATTGTTATAATGCACATTGCGCAAAATAACCCACTTCTTTCATACAACTTATGTACACATGTGATGAGCACCTTTAGAGGACTTCATGATGTTATGGTTACGAGGGGTGAATGAGGGTATCACGATGTTATCCAATATAAAATGGGAACATCATATCAGTTGTGTAGTAAACAAGCAGAGCTGCGTCATCACACACTTTATCATTTTATCTGTAGCGGATACTTACTATAATATTGCAAATTGTATCCAAATTCTTCAGCCATGTTTTAAAACATACTCTTTAGCAAACGAAGCTTGCAAGATTCTAATTTGCAATTTGAAAGTTCACAGGCTTTAATGAAAATTGAACTTATACCATATTTATGAGCACACTGCTTTACAGAAGGGCAAAAATTCAAAAAAGTTAATTATTGTTCATTTTGTTTTTCCCTGGGAACAGTGGGAATTGAACCTCTAGCCTTCAGTTTAGCAGGCACACAACTGCTGTGTTTCAGAAGCAAGCAAAAGAGAGTTACTGCAATTCATTTCAAAGAGTATTGTAGAATGTAAGAAAATAAGCTTTACTCAAATAATGTTAATGTCATCCTGTGCAAACAACAGTGCTTCAAGTAATGCTTGATAATGCACCTAAATTTATGTTGCCACCATTACTACACCATACTCAGGTCCATGCTGACTAAGGGGTAGAAAATACATATTTATTTATTTGCATTTCAAAGTGTTTCTAACTAATAATTGTATTAATATGAACATATTCTTTTTGTTTTAGGTTTTGAACAACATAGAGATGTATTTACAAGAGGAAGAACGAAGAATGATTAAACAGGATCAAGAATGTAAGTTGCTCATTTTAAATTATCATTGCACAACTATACAAAATTTCTGTAGACATATTGTGTATTTTTCAGTGCTGATATTTAATTGTTCATCATTAAGGATATTACAAGATTTTATCGTTTTCCATTTGCTGATACCCAACTGTATTGATTAGATGTGTATTTGTTTTCTATTTACTCTTATTATGAAACCTGGCCCCTGTGAATCCTAACCCTCCATGACCAAGAAGGCTATGAGGGAATTGACATTTAATTTTGTAATATTTCTGAAGTATGTATTACTTTCATTTGTTGAATGGTGATGCTGTTAATGAATGTGTAAGGTTTGTGATGTATTTGAGGGGGAGATCCCAGGTAGGGATCCCAGAGCTCAAGAAAACGTGCACAGAATGCATTTCTCCTGATATTACATCCTACACAGATTTTCACTTGTTAAATAAATTTTAAAGAATTGTCAGTTAAATTGAATGTATTATATTTTAACAATTCTTCTTGAATAGTTCCTATTTTATAGATGATTAGAAGCTTTTCATCATTGTAAATTACATTTCATTAAGTTGAATTCTGTTTGGTGAATTAGTAATGTTCTATATCGTTGTGAAAGACTTTCTTGTATATTTCTTTGGTTATTAATTGTTTACAGGGTCCAAGTTATCAAAACAAGAGAATCTGAAAGAAATGGGAGATGTTTCATCCGGAATGGCCAGCACAGTTATACAGTTGTACCTGAAAGAAATACTAGAGTCATTTCTCCATCCAAATATTGCAGTTAGACATGCTGCATTGAAAGTAATACAACTAATTCTTCAACAAGGGTTGGTTCATCCAGTTCAAGTAAGTGATTGTTTTATGTATTTTATATGTTTGCAGTATATTACAATACCTCCAGTTTGTTTTCTTTCCCTGAGGACAATTCACTCCTTTTATTTTCTCGTCTACTGTTTATGCATTTTAGAGAAAGTATTGTATATGCTGCGAGAAAAACTGATTTTTTGTCATAAAAACTCTTTATTGTGGGTCCCTTGGATAGTGTACACTTAAAAGATAGAGATACTTCAAAGAATGGTGCAAGTCTCATTTGCATTTAATTTCCTGAATGTTCGAAAATTGCAACAATTCGACATTTTGTCAATGTCTTCCTACTTCTACAATAATGAAGATGTATTTTTTCCTTAATAAAAGTTGAAGAAATCCTTTAGACAATTTTCCTTAAGAAAGTTGAAGAAATAGGTGCTGGTCACATGATCATTCTACTCCCTGAATATTCTGTTAGTGCATATGTGTACAAGAAGTTTGGATTAAAGCTCCATATTGTTATCTTGTCTGCTTCATCATACTTCATTACTTGAAACTCATTACATTCTGTTAAACAAAGAAGCAAAACTGGAGGTATTGTAATATTGAAACTTTCTGTTAGATCATGTTTGACAATGCAGTTTATAATGTGAACACTTAGGATGATCTTAATACTTTCCATGCCATTGGAGGAATATTGGCAATAATTCCTGAAACTGCAATCTAGTTTCTTCTGTGACCAAATCCTCTTTAGCAATTCGTGTTATGTACTGAACTCATTTTTAGTAAAAGTTTTCATTGCTGGTTTCAAGTAAACTTTTTGAACCTGCTGCACAGTTTTTTGGGGTATAGTCTTTTTTGTGATACCATGAATTCACTCGTATTCTCCGCACACAGGAAACAATGGGTTTTTGAAATTGAAGGATTTATTATGTGATCTAAGTTTTATTGATATATCTGGCTTGGATTGCTCGCTTTCCATTTGAACTGATGCAGAAATCAATTTTGGATGAATATAATTTGTGTGACAGTGTTTAAGAACAAACAGTTCTTCCCACAAGAACAATTTTTGAATAGACTTGACTTGATATTTTTCTTTATGACCACAATTGCTTCACTTACGTCCAAATTCTCCTTAACATAAAGCATGTGCTTCCGATATCCGTACCTAAATATTATTTATTAGTAGCATTGTTTATGTGATCCTCACGTTCCAGAAGGGTCAAGAGGAAAACTACCAATATAGGGGAGACATGGCCTGGCCTAGAATCATAATTTCAAAATCCATTGTAAATAATCTCAGCATTTATTTCATAAAAATAAATATGACTAAAGTATTATAAAACACGTAGTTTATTTACTCCATCATACTGTTTTTTTGATCTTGGAACAGAGACAGTCATATTCGACATGAGCACCCCTTACTTAATTATTATTATTATAATGTTGTTGTTGTTATTATTATTATTATTATTATTATTATTATTATTATTATAATGATGAAGATGAATAATTACATCATCTTCAGTTTATTGTATGCTTTTGATTTAAGTAACTCATGTTATTTGACATGAGGCCTACTGCCACTCTTAACCAGAAATTCCAAAACTTGTTTAACCTGTGCAAGTATTAAAACCATTAGTATTTAATCACTTTTTATTTACAATGCTCTTAGGTACCCAAAAATTTTTCATTAGAGAGATTATTGGTAATGTAGAGCAACTTCAGAATAAAAAGAAAAATTGTTTAATCAAGCAAACTTGTAGAGAATTACAAAATTCCTTCAAAATTGTACATAACATTTTTACAGTAATGTCAACCATTAAAATGTAATTTTGCCGAAACCAAAAAATGTATGGAAAACTTAGGGTTTTCTCACTAATACCAACATAAACAAAATAAATAAATAAATAAATAAAATCTTGTACATCACCTTCTGCAAGGTAAAATAGCATATTGGCTGCACTATTAGCTTAAGAAAATTAGTTTTCTCTCCTAATGTTCTACTATTGGTTTTACAAATGATGACCGAGATGTGTTAATATGGAAAGAAATTGCAGTGTAATAATTGTGTATTATATGTAATTTATGTAATTGTTGCGAAGGTACGTGCTGATTTTACACCACTAGCTAACGTTCTTGCCTCAAATTATCTGAATGCAATTACTGCACATTCAAATTAGATATATTTTTCAAAGTGCTTTGAACAAAAACTTTGCAGGGACTAACTTTTTGTTTGAATGATGGTGATCATTATCTGTAGTTAAATTTGAATGTTGATGTCTCTCTGGAAAACATGTGACAAGTGAATTTCTTTTTTGCTGTGTGGGGGAGAATACACTGCTTTAAATTTGGGAATGTATTTAATTTCCTAAATGTGTCTTTGTTGTGAGGTATTTATTTGAAATGATTAATTTGATTTACAGATTGTTCCATATCTAATTTGTATGAGTACCGATGTAGAAAAAGTGGTTAGCCATAGTGCTGATAAACAACTGCAAGATATTGAAAAGAAATATCCTGGATTTATTCATATGAAGTCCCAGTCTGGAATAAGGCTCTCATATAAATTGCAGAAAATTCTTCAGAATGACAATGTAGGAATTGTGAGAGGTTACAGAACCCGAGAAGGGGAATATCCTGGGGCACTGAATGGTTTTCTGTATTCAATTTTACGGAGCACCAAACAACAGAGGCGAGCTTTGGTCCTTTCAATTCTTAAGCAGTTCGATGAACAAGTGGTAAAGATCCTCATTACTTCTTTTCTGTATTTTGTCTTTTTACTTCATTTACTTATGAATTGTTGAGATTGTATTAATGTATTTTTGTGACTAATTTCAATTTCTTTTTTGGCAGAAAACAAGTTTATCTCAGATGTTATATCTCTCTGATAATTTGGCATATTTTCCATATCAAGTTCAAGATGAACCCCTTTTTATAATACATCATATAGATATTATGATATCGGTTTCTGGTACAAATCTTCTTCAGGCTTTTCGTGAGGTTGGTTTGTTAACTTTGTGTTAGATGATATTAAAGATTTCAATTAGATATCATGCATGTATATAAATTGTTTTTTCTTGTTTACTGAAGGCACTTATCCCTTGTGGGAATCCTGAAAATCAAACCACTAAAATTAATCCTGAGACTGGTGCTCCAATGCAAGTATACATTGAAGAAGAAGATGATGATGAAGATGAGGATTCTTTACTTAGCAGGGTCCCAGAGGATACAACCGTTTTACAGGACTGTATTACAGCATCCCAGGGTTGCTTACTTCTTCTTGTGTTGAAGCAACATTTAAAAGACCTGTATGGAATTAGTGATGCGTGAGTAATTTATTAATATTGCTAATATTTATTACAATTTTTTTAGTATTACTATTTCTGTTTCATTAATGTTATTAGTTAATATATCATTGAAACTGTTACTGGAAGATATCTTATAAACTTTTGATTACTTTATTACTATTTTGTGATTCTGTAAAAGTTTAATTTCATGTGATTTTGTTTCTACTTTTTCTTGGTCTTCTGCTTGTTATGTCCATTTCCCTCGTATCATGTATAGGCCAATCTTTTAATTACCATATTACCCTTGACTTAGCTGTGAAGGGAAGGAAACCTCTAGAGTTGGAATAACAGTGAAGAAACTATAAAATTCTGGTATAAGTTTTTCTGGAATTCAATAAGATGCTTAAGGCTTTCAAATATTATATTCATTTAAGGAAATTGGTGATTTGTAATCGTGTATAATCGAATATGAGTTTTTTTCATAAAGATCTCGTTTGAAAAATCAGGGTTATCTTATACTTACAGATGAAGTGTAGTTGGCTGGGAGTTATATATGTTTACTTTGCTTTTTCATGTCAAGAAATTTGAACATTGACATAACAATACTCTTGCCATGGGTTAGCTGAGTGATTCAGACCATTATTTTTAATGGGCCCATGAAAGTATCTCGAACAAATGGCATTTTAGTAGATGAAATGCAATGTCAAAATTATTAAAAATTGTTACTGAGATTTTGTTACAAGATCGCATTGACTCTCGGCTCAGTAGTCAACAAGTGTGAATCTTTCATTTTTTTAGAGAAATTAAAAATGAAAAAAATGAAATGGAAAATTCACCTTCATTTATATTTTAAGCCAACAAGAGACGTATTAAAAGAATTCCGAAGAAAAAATCCCAGACTTAGGAAACTGCTGCTTTCTCTCATGCTATCTGCAGAATGGAGGCACAGAGTTGTATGATGTCGCGGTTCACAGCTCAATCACGTGAACATAAAAAACTATGCAAATTTCAAGTTATTGGTTGTTAAAGAATCAGTAGACACAAGCAAGAACCCAGTAGAATACTCTGGTAAAACAGAACTGAATGTTTTTAGGTGGTGTGAAGTGAAAGACAAAGGACAAATTGTACACCCTAAACATCCAGGCGAGTCTAAAACGTCAGAGGACTACCTAGTATGGGCAACCTACTAGCAAGAAAGAAACAATGAAATATTTTAAAATGAAATGGTTGTGACAAAAAACACTGATTATTATTGTGATAAGTAATAAGAAAAAACTTAGTTCAGGGTAAAATAATTAATCTTATCAAGATGATTTTCTGGTCAATATGACAATTTGTGATTTTATTGTGAGTGAAAAGTAAAAATTGTTAAAAATGATAAAATTCTCAGGAGGGCTCTTCATAATTAGGGAACTGTATTATCTTCGGGTAAATATGGTATGTCAAATTAAGATTTGTATATTTCAACTTTTGAAATGGAGCCCCTTAACAACCAAAATCTTGATGAGAAATTTAATGATTTTAACACTCGAATGTCCAAGAGGCTAAATTGCTCCTGAACAAAATCATTAATTTTAACATTTTCTCAGTAACAATATTTTTTGCACAGTTTGAGTTATAATACAATTTTTGCCTTTAAATGCCAAATTACACTGAAAACTGGGTTTTCTTACCTTACAACACAAAAAAGACTTTGTAGTCAATTGAATTTTACTGCAATATGAAATGTAGAGTGGATGTCATTGATCAGACTAAAGGCATGGCTTCATTCTGTGAAGTCTGGCTTTAAACATTCACCCATGCAGATCTCCATCAATGTGCCTGATGTGGTAACTCTAAATTCCTACCAAGATTCAATAGGAATAAAAATACAGAGAAGAGATTTCATTCTCTACCTTTGTGAAGAGCTACTTGCAGTATTTCTTTTTACTACAAGAATTGAACAAACCACTGGAATTAGTGTGAGACAGCAAATCCAACCAAGAGAGAAAAATATAGATTTGAAATGTCTGCAGAGGAACACCACACCAGACCATACCAGACCGTATCGTACCGTACCGTACCGTACCGTACCGCACCACTAGTCTGCAGAAGTTGTGACCCAGCCGTGGAAAAAGGGAAAGGGGAAAACGTTTGGTGCAGGAAAGTGGTCAAAATTAATAGTGAAACAATAGAAGATTAAGAATTTATTCTCGATTGCTCAGGTCAACTCTTTATTGACAGAAACCTCCATTAATTGTATTGCTGTGACAATTTATTAACAATGGAGTGTGTTCAAAAAGCAATAAAGAAATACATTAAAATATTATATATCCAAAGAAGCTTTGCCACATGTATTATTGGATCTTGTTTTCATATCAATTCAGATTTTATATATATTTTTAATATATCATTTATATGTGCAATACTTCAAATGTGTGTGTCATTAGAAATTAATTTTTGCATCACAAGTTGGAAAAGATGTGGGGTCATTTTAGCCTCTGTGGACATTCTAGGCATGGTGTTAACCCCAGACATGCTAGTGTCTTAATACTATAACAATCACAAAGAGTTAAATTTTAAAATTTGACCCCTCTGTCAAGATTCAGATGTCCCATCCTTTAGAATTTAACTTCACTATTCCACTCATTAAATTAAAACCAATAGTGTTTAACTATACGTATAAAATGACCCAATCAGGGCGGTGTTTCTAAAACGGTTGATCGTTTTTTCTATCCGATTTTTCTTACTGCTTCTACCTACTGGCCAAAAATAAACCGTGATTCATCTATCTTTGGAGGCGTTATACAGTGTATGTATATGTCGATGTTATATAAACCACGTGTGTGCTATAATGTAACCTCTGATTTTAACATTCGCTTTCAGTTGATTTCAATATTTGGTGCATTTTGGAACTCTGTTGGACATCATTTCACTCCTGGAATAGTCCTATTAAACACCACTTGTGCTTTGGAAATTCTCAGATAAATCCCCTCCTCGCTTCGAGAGTCAGTAATTTATCGACAATTTCCTAAGCACTCGTGGTATTACCTATGATAAATACAATCCAAAGAACAAAACTATAAATTAAGCATAGCCAATAGAATTAAAACTACCGTAGGAGATACATGTACTCTTAATTGAAGTGTATACAAATAATCAAAAATATTTGTATGGATGTAGCAGAAAGCAGATCTTCAGTACACTTTTAGAATTGAAATATTCATAATACCTTATTGTGATAGTGATAAATATCTTAGGTGTGAAATGGTATTTATGCTAATTGTATGAGATTATAAATTCATTCTTGCTTTGTTCTGCCCGACTGTGATGTATTTGAGGTTCTGCAGTTATTACTTTATAGAGGCTTCCTTTTTATTTTATTTTTGTCGCAGTTTAGAAATTGAATATTTCATGTCTACTGTTCAGTCTACATGCAGTGTTTTGCAATTTCAGTTGATGCGTGAAAGAAAGCATATATGATTTTACCTAGTATTATTTATCAATTCATGGAGTTATTAATATTTTTCACTATTTGACAATAAATAACTGCAATTCTCTTTATTTATAGGAAAATAACCCAGTATTCTCCTTCTGAATCAGCGAAAGTTTATGAAAAAGCTGTGAATCGCCGCAGTAATTCATGCTTTGACCCTAAAAATACTATTCAAAAATTAAAGCAGGGGTCTCCTTCTAGTGTATTGGATGAATCAGAGCGGAAAGCTCTAGTGGTGCAGTACTTAGATGTAAGTGTAAACAAACTTTTTGTTAGGCTAATGAAATTTTCAGTTATTATTGTTATAGGTTTATTGTAGCATGCGTGCAGATATTTTATTTCTTATTAACAAGTTTTTGTTTGTGTTTTTCCCCCTTCTTTTTCAGTTCAAACAGTTGATGCTGAAGTTTGATCCTGAGGATCCTGATGACGATGATATAGGAGAAAGAATAAAGAGCAAAGTTGTAACTGAAGAACAGCAAACTGAAGTGAAACCTGAGCAAAAACCAGAAGTTGTGCAAGGAGTAGAGATAAGCCAAATCGAAAATAAGGTTTTTAATGTTACCATATCAATTTTTATCATTGGTAGTGTTACAGTGCAACAGATTTCACACCCTCATATTCAAACATCACATTCATTGGTATCAATCTAGAAGCCTGAAGCTTCCATATTTAATCCCTATTATGGTAGTGATATTTTCACAGTGGTTGAAGATGTAAGCAAAGTGCCTTCAGCACTTGTGGACGTTGAGTGGAGAAAATGTGTGAAATCTATGACTGTTATTGATTACAGTTTCATTTGCAGAGAATCTTTGAAACTTATTGAATTGTTGTAATTTTACAATTGCTCTATAATTTATGATAGATATTGCAAATTATATGCAATGTAATGTAATGATTGTTGATAGTGATTATTACCAATTATTATTTTTATTTCTTTAGGAATCACCACAAAAGGTACCAAAGCTGACAATTGTACCTCCCAAACCACCGGAAAACAAAGACTCTCGTCATCGGTCTCATAAAACTCACAAATCTGAGCGACATAGGAAGCATCGTCACAAAAAGAAACGAAAGAAGTTAGGTGATGAAGATGAAACTGATGAATATAGTGATCCAGACTTTTAACCGTTGTTGTGTACAGAACAGCAGATTTCTGCTAGTGAAAAGCAACCTTTCAGTGTGTGATATAAACTACATAATATATTTGAAAATTGACAAGAACTGCAGTGAATAATGCAGAGACCCTTATGTACAGATTCACCCTGTTGAAAGGATGAAATAAGAATTTTTACAAGCTGAGAAGCTGAAGTGTTATTTTACGTCAAATGTGCAATGGACTGTTTTTCATAATTTATTTCAAAGCACAAAATAAATACAAACATGGTTAAGCAAGTGAAGTAATTTATTTACAATGCTTCTTTAATAAGGCATCCATATTTATAAACATCATGGGCATAAATACAATTTGTATGGTTTGTATTGAAGCAGCCATTTTGGTTTCACAACCTCTATTGAGTGAAAATATATGTAGGAAGTGTTGCACAGAAAGCTATGAAAGGTACAAATCTTTCTCTTCTGATGCTAAGCAATATGTTAGCCGTAGACAGATATTTGAACAGCAAGGTGAGACTTAGAAGGCTCTGTATAACACTCCAGACAGATCAAGATTAATATGCATTTCTACATATCTGTAGACATGTATGAGAATCTTTTTCTGCTATGGCAAGCCCCTGTGTACATACAAAATTATATTTTTAATTCTTCTATCTATTATTTCTTTCTAGGAAAGAAAGCCTGTGAATCATGTGTATAGTTAAAAAAAGAACCTCTGCTGAGTTGTGATGTCTATATTATTGTAAATTATTTAATTTTTTTAGCTTTGAGTCCCATTAAATTTGTATAGTAATCTCATGTCTATCATTATGAATGTTTACCAACATTGCGCCATTATATCAGGTTTGGGGGGTCGGTTGTAATATTATTTTATATATATTTTTTTGTATGTTTCATTTACTATTTTATAATGTGAATATATATACACACACACATGTGCGTGTATGGATTATAACAATCCCTATGTGTGAATGTGAAAAGAAACATTTGTACTACTTCAGGTGATAACTAGCAAGATTGTTTTATATGCAATGTATGAAAAAATGTCTTTATAAAGAGAATGTCATAGCTCATCGGATTCTATTACACTCAAACAAAGCAAAACTAGATCTTATTTATTCCTCTCAGTGTCTTGAACATAAAAATGTGAAGTTGATCTTTATTTTTTAAGTTTTTAACAATAATTGAAGTTGAATTGTATTGTATTACAGAGTGCACGTGACCCACCATAAAAATTCTGATGTTACAAATATTGAATTTTATGACAAAAACTACATTAACAGAAACATGCATTTTCTTATGAACTCTTTTTGCATTGCTCTGTAGTTAGCTTTCCCTTTTTATCATCTTTGCAGCTTTGTATCAAAATTTTAAAATATTCATATGAGTGGAATGAGTAACTGCATGGCAGATGACACACAATAATATTTAAATTGGAATTTTGAAATCTGGAAGTGAAATTTTTCACAACAGTTGGTTACTACTTATTATGCTGTTTGCTTTTTTCTTTGCAATTGAATCATCATTGCATCTAGATCCATTGAAATTGAAAAACTGCATGCTTTGTTGATGATTTCAATGTGTATTTAATTATTTTGTTACTGAAGAATATTTTTCAAACCCATTCTTGAAAATAATGAAACATGAAAACCAAATATAAATTCTTCAAATGTTGAGAGTGGTTAAAACTGTTATGCAGAAAGCTTCACTCCTAGTGTTTGCTGCTGTATTTGGAATAGGTAAATATTATTTATATGAGAAGGAATAAGAGACCATTATTCATGTGGGACTTTTGTCTTTGGAGTGGATAAAGCTCTGTTTAATACTATGTATTCAATATTTTATTTATTTCACACATTTTTAACATTTTTGGAGTGTAAAGAGTGATTTCTCTACTGAATGGAGATAAATATTTTCAATTCATTTCATTTCAAATATTTGCAATGCACATTTTTGGCTTACAATAAAATCTATATATTTGCGAGGTAAAACTGAAATATGCTATGAAACACAGTACTTTTTACTCCAGAGAAGGAAGTTTTGTTTAGATAAACCAGAAAACAAACAAGATACTCTTGAAATGTGTGAAATAAATAAAATTTATAAGCAGTCTGAAGTTTATTTATTTTTTACCTTTCCTAAGATTTTAAAGTTAATTTAATGACGTTTGAAATTTAATTCCACATATATAAAAGTGGGTTGGGCATGAAAAAAAATTATATTGAAAATGTGAGTATATGTTTTAAAAAGCTTTAATTTATCAAAGGGTGTATTTATGTTCATGCAAGGAAAAGTATTTTCATGGTGCTTGCTAATAGGATAGTGTGATAATTTTTTCTGGGTATGCTCCAAACCAGATATATGCATATTAATTAAATATATTTCAGCTAATCATGATGAATTAATATTAATATATTGCCTGCCAGATCAGAACAGGTCAGTTTTTATTGAATATCTAAAGCTGTCTCACTTCATCAAAATATAGTGTAAGTACCGAGTATTCCAGACTATTCATGTCAATACACAGACTTCTTGTGAACTCTTTTTCTGCTTGGATATGCAGTCAGGGAAATGTTACACTAACCTGAACCTAATGCCTGCTGATTGATGAGGTTATAATATATACTATCCACTATAATGTCGTTGGACAAACCTTTATTTCACAACATGCAAAAATAATGTAAATGATAGTACTTACTAATTGTCTGGATTATTTTCATTATTGATTAGTTAGTTTCTATTGCACTCTTTTTCACTCATACAATTCTAAATTTTATTATCATTGTAAAGTATTTATTTCTGGTGACAAGCAAACTTTCAGAACCAATCTTCACACTGTCTATAATACATTGCTTTCCAAAAGAGTAATTAAATGAATTGCATGTGAATGCCATCTATTGTTCGTTAACACACTTAGCAGCACACTATGTTTTGTCTCTCGTTTGTGCACTTAAGTTTTTCTTTGAAAGCTTGATCACTTCAATATGCTAGAATGTATGTGTGTTTGCTGTTGGCATTTTTTAGTGCCTGCCACAGATCCTGAGTGATGTCAAAGACTCTTGAGAGGTCAAAAATGAAATTGCTGGCCTGTTACTCTCTTTCCTCTGCTGCATCTCACAGACATGTAATGCATATCTGTTGACTCTGAATGCCAGAACCTTTGGGCACTGTCAGAGGGGCTTGTAGTTAAGAGGGGAGTACAGGGTGCAAGTCACACACAGACAAGATATATAGTACTTGCGCCTTGGGAAATATCAGAAAACACATTTTAAAGTATTGAAACCATTTTTGTTTAGGTAGATTCTGGCTTACAACCTAATAGGAAGCTACACAATGGTGTTTGCTGTGAATAAGGTTTGCTTCTGCATCCAGTAATAGTTGAAATTCACTTTTGTTTGAAGTGAAAATAGCTTGGTTTTGAATATGTAGTACCATAAAATATAATCATATCAATTTTGATCAATCATTGTAAGTACTTTTTTTTTTTATAAATTAATGTTTGATGTGTTGACAAATCTAATACATCCGCTTGATCTAAAGATACAGCAGCATACTCTAATTTTGAGTGGGAAATAACAATCGTCTGAACTTAGAACACGTATTTGTCTAGTGGGCTAAAACACAACTTTGGTTTATAAGTTTTGTTGAAGTTTAAATGCAAATTTTAGCAGTAGACCAAGGATATCCCAGGAAATTTTGATCTGGTAAATCGGATGAGAATCGTTGCCCTTCACATGATCATCAGACTTTGGGTAAATGTCTAGTTTACTATGTTGATGTACTCTTGCAATTTATTCTGTGCCTAGTATGTAAATGCACAAAAATCAAGAAATCTCAGGAGTCCCCTCTCCCCCATTATTTTTATTACTGCTACTAGTTTATAAATTTATAGAAATTGACCTCGCTATTTTAAAATTATTCAGTTTTATACATTAATTGGGAAAGGTAAAGTAGAAAATCTCCAAACTGCTCCAATTTTTTCTTTCTCATTACGAAGTAGAGAGAAAATTGTGTAATGCTGCGCTGAAGTTGGAATTTTAGGCAGAAAAACTTATTACAGGCCCGTGGTAACGCAAAAGTGGATAAATTCTGTTGCTAAATTTAGAAAAGATTCATCTAGCACAAGGTGGAGCCAGAATCCATGTTTTGTGGGTCCTTGATACGGAAAAAATCGAGTGACGACAAAACGTCTCAGTCCGTCAGTGAACAACGCTAGCTGGTAAACCGTTCAGGCGATTTTCTCCAATATTGATATTCTTTAATCGATCGGGCTGATGTCGCGGCCCCTTGGCTTTTAACCTGGCATAAAGCCACGGAGACATATTCAAAAAATGGCTCCCTCTTTTTGAATAAATTTTGTTGTTTGGACGTTTAATCCTCGCAACAGACTTCACTGAGAGATGGATTGCGACAAATGAGAGGCTACGTCTACACTAGAAATAGGTTATTCGATGTCTTTAATGTGCCACTAGCCGAGAGTGGTGACTGCAGTTCGCTATGAGATCAGCTGCGAGTTCCATTTCTTGTATTAAATGCTCTTTTGTAATTTTAACCCGTGAAATCCTTGTTTTGTTACCATAATCGTAAACCATCTGTTTAATGAGTTCGAATTGCCTAAATATAGAAATTCATTACTGCTTTGTTTACTTCGCAATCATTATTTAATTAAAAAACAAAAATTTATGTTACGTACTATAGGGGAGAAGTAAAATCTGTGCATATTTTCTTGAGCTCCGTAATTTCTACTACCCTACTCTTACTTTGTTGTTTGTATTATGAATAAATGGTGAGTGATCAAATAATTCATAATAAAATTCACAATTAATCAATTAATTCTATTTTTTTTCAAAATACCCCGTCAAGTTTCTTGCTTCATTTTTTTATTGCTCATTATGAAGGGGTTCATAAAAGTAAGAATAACTATCACAAGTTTTTTCATGTTCGTTTCCGTTTAAAGAGAAAATAGAAACATTAAAAATCTCGTTGTTTATCACATATGTTACTGCTAAATATTTTAACTTCACCCAGTTCTACGAAGTGTTCAGTGTTTTCCTGCGGCAGCGAATGCCTAAATGTCATTAACAAATAAAGGAGTAGAAATATGTCCGAGAAACTCGCGTGCTGGCCGACTCGAGCGAGATACGTCCGCCTTCGCCGAAGCGAAGCTGCGCGAAGGCGAGCTGCGTACGAGAAAAAACGTTTCAGTATGTGGGGGTCGATGAGTATCCCTTATTTCGATTTTCTACATTGAACCCTGGTTTTTTGAAAATTGCAAAAGTTCATAATTTTTTCGGTGTCTTCCTACAACTAAAATATTAAAGTTAGAGATATTTTTTCTCCGAATGAAGTCTGTTCCGTAAAGATAGTTTTTGAAATTATGCATCATTTTTCGAAAATTTAAGTCCTTTTCGCGTTGCGGGAAAATATGGGCAATAAAGAAAGTACGCGCTGTTTTAGAACCACTAGTTTTCTTCAAATTTCTTCCTTAAATACAAGGAAGTGCGCTTAAAAGTAAGGCAAAAGTCCGATTTTCATTAAGAAATGTGAACTTTGAATTGAAAGAAAATTGAAGAAGGTCAACTTGAATTCTGTCGTGTTCGCTGGTACAGTAACACCGTACTTCCTTTTCAATGAACGTCATATGTCCAAAATGTCCCAACACGAGTGTTGGATGGCAAGCTCTGGCATTGAGAAAGGAAGATACCTTCTTTCTCTATGGCCCTGGTGTGCGGGTAAACGCTTCTTAGAAAATGAGAGAGTTTTGGGTGTATTTTACGGTTACCAAAGTTTGTGTTCCTTACCACATTTATTTACAATATTTGCTTCGGTTTGTTTAGGTTCTGGCTGCGCATCCCATTCGCAAATTTAATTTAAAGACGCACTATTCTATAAGACATATATCACCTTTTCATTTTGAAAATGATTTGAAATAAATACCATCCAGCTGGCTTGGAAGCTGCGAGATGGCAGCCCCATCACCGAGCTGAAGCTGCGCAGCGCTTGTTACGCGGCCAGGGGCACCCACTTTGGTTGTCTGAGGCCAAGGGATTTTGCACATACTAACAAATCTTCACTATAAGCAGTCGGACTGTTCAAGGTAACGATTAAAGCATGAAAAGTACAAACGACTTGGTATTACAGACCGATCAAAAATTGCCACTTGGAATGTGACGGGGTTGGGAAACAGAGTAAATGAGTCAGATCTTAAACTAAACGAGAAGAAAATTGACATTGCTGTCATAACATAAACCTAGAAAAAGCTTTAAAAAAGTACAAAAGACTTAAATCATTATACAATGATATAAAGCGGAGTGTCTCAAAAGACACGTGCGAGTGGTGGGGTTGCTATATATTCCAGTAACAAAATGGAAAAATAAAATACTGAATAAGGTACTGAATAAATGACTGAATTATTACTTGTAAATTTAAAATATATTTAAACTTAGTAACAATTGGTGTTTACGCCCCTGAAGAGGGAAGGAAAGAGGACATCAAAGACTTCTTTGACGATCTGCAAAAAGAATTAAATAAAATAAATAAAAGGTATAATTTCTTAATTGTGGAGATTGAAATGCAAGGCTCCGAAGCACCGTTTCGTGTCAATAATGTATCTTTGAATGGTTCGCACGCTGACCTTGTTGATGGCCCAGCATTGAAATCTGCAGCAATTTGCGGAAGGGTTGCACTTCTGTCATGTGTAATGATTCTCCTCGGTTGTCGTCAGTCCCGTTCTGGCACAATCTTTGAGCAGACACAGCAATGCCGGAGTTTTGATGTTTTACCGGATTCCCGATATTCACGGTACACTCGTGAGATGCTCGTACGGGAAAATCCAAATTTCATCGCGACCTCGGGGATGCTATGCCTCATCTCTCTTGCGCCGACTAAAACACCATGTTCTGACTCACTTGAATCGTGATAACCTGCCACGGTAGCAGCAGTAACCGATCTAACAACTGCTTTTTTCGGTTTCCCCGGGAGTTTATTTTCGCATATTAGGGTACATATATGAACTGCAGCCGTTTAGGCTTTTGCAGCTGCAAGTAGGGCCTATCTTAAATATACTAACTCACAATCTAACTTATTAACTAATACATTTGCCTCTTTGGGCCGATTCTAGTTGTTACAAAGTAGTTACAATGTTTTTAAAAGTTCTTAAAATTGTTCTCTTTCTTTATATTTTTAAAGTTCACTCTCACATTTACTCTTAAAGTGCATTTACAACACATTAATTCACTCACTCGCACAACACAACACTACACTATTTACACTATGTACAACTGTGCTTATTTCTTTCTATTTTCCCTCTCCAGTTACCCTGGAGAGGCGGGAATTTATTTGACTTCCGGAATACATTATTTTCAACTGCAGTAGATTTGGCTT